GATCCAGGTTTTGGCTTCTTACCGCATCGCCTCTCCAAACAGAGAGAACCCGTTTGCTTTTGGACTACTGAAGCAACTGAAGCGGTCCCTCCACATGTTTCGATCGGGCTCCCTGGCCAAGGGGAGCATCCCTCAATGTGACGCGGGCGTCTCACACCAATGCCTGGACGCCCAATGCGGGTCAGCGGGGAGAGAGGATTGGGGTACAATGATGATGCAGTAAGAACTAGAACCCCTTGACAGGACGTTTGGGGGCATCTCTCAATTTCAAGACATACCTAAGCCATTTGTGCAGAAATGCTCTCCGTGTGTGCGCGTGTGTGTTTGGAATTTACACAGATACACAGCTCGTCATTCTTGTTGTTATGTTGTTGTGTGAGTGCTGTGATTTGAACTAGTTTGAATATAATAACAATAGTAATAATAATAATGATAATAATAATAAAATATAATATGAATATATAGCATGCTGTCCAATTGTTGATTGTCTCAAAACAAGTCCAAATCAATACTTTCAATGTCAAATCCGATGTCTTTGCGGGAGTACGTGCACATCACATCTCTCAAGAACGTTTTCCAACAAGTCTGTCTACCTACCATGATCACGGCTCTGCCTGCTACCTACACATAGTGCACAAATTATATATTTGGAATCGATGCTCTATGCCCTATGCTGTATGGACGCTGTATGGACACTAGGTCAGGATTATCATTGTCTCTCTGGTTTTTGGAGAGCAAGCGATCAAGGGGGGCGTCTGCAGAGTGGCCAAATCGATTCAGCAGCACAGGTGGAGGGGCACAGATTTGCTGATCCATCTTGTTCCGTGTGATTGCGAAGACTTGTCTTATCTTCTGCTCTTGCGAATTTGTGTGAAGAAGAACAATAAATACAGAAAAACCAGAAACAAGAAATACATTCGTGTTCCTTTCTTATCTTCTGTTCGAACACCTAAGGTAGACTCTTGATTCACAAGCCCCCCGTATGAAGAGGATTTCCAATTCAAAGGGGTGGTTTATTAATCAATATTCTATACATTATAAACACATATTTTTGCATTCATGCATCGTTGCACGATTGATGGAAGCCGATGGAGCCGCTGGCCCAGGCCCCTCGGATTGGCAGACCTCGGAAGGCGGCTACCATTGCTCTTTGGCGGCATGAAACGATGAAGATGATGGAGGGTTTCACGTGTGTTGCACTTTTCAATCTGGAAACTGGTCTTTCAGACTTCAGACTCAAAAAAACGCGGGTGGCTTCTTCTTGATCTGAAAACCTGGTCAACTGACCTTCCGAGTCCTTTCCGAGTCCTCTTGTGCCGCAGAACACGCCGAACAGGCCGGTGTGATTCTCGCAAAACCGTGCTCCACAAGCCCGGCACCAACCACAGCCCGGCACCTGCGGTCTCTTTAAAAAGAAGGAACACGCGGTTGGTTCAGTCGAATCGGGTCACCTGGTCTCAAGACCTTCGTCAACAAAGACTTCGACCAGTGTCGTCTCGGCGGTCTGACCACGTTCCTGCGGTGGATCTCTGAGGCTTGCACCAACTGTCTGGGCAGACCAGCCGATTGGCCTATTTGAAGTCGGGTGGCGCCTGCCGCCCAGCCGCGCAGGGGCCCTTCCCCACGAGCGACTGCCAGGTGAGGCTTTCTTTTTTCGTCATGTGGAGGGGGTGAGACGTGTGTGGGCGTTGGGCGTTTCCGAGTGTCATGAGTCTGACGTCATTTGTAAACTGATGTAAACTGCAACCAAGGATTGGACCAAGGATCATCGATTTAGACGTAAGAAAAGGGTTCAGCTAAGTATGTACACGGTATGAGTTGATTCAGCCACAATTTATATATAGTACATGTATATATCATTCACAGCTATGTGACTATGTGGTGCAATGAGGACGCGTTTTTCTTGGCATCGAGATAGCCGCACAGATGGTTTGGGCAACGCACAGAGAACGTTGACAATGTGTGGAACAGAATCTTTCTTGAGTACGGGATGTGGGCAAGCGTTTGACTCATTGCTTTGGACATATTTAGATTGATTACACTTTGACCCCTCCTTGCAGGCCAGAGTTGGGATACTTTCGAGCAGTTTTCTCAGAATTTCAGTTTCTCATGATGTCACCTGCGAGCTGCGGGACGGACGGACTCCGAGTCGACTGCGAGTCGACTCCGAGTCGGGTGTCGATGTCTTCGGAGACGTGGAACGAATGGGTCCACTGTGTCTATGTTGCATGACATCATGGTTGAAACCCATACTCATTGGGCCTCACGCCCCCTCACCTTCGCCGGTGTACTAGGCGATGGTAGTGAGTGTACTGGTCGATTTTCCTTCCGGGTCGAGCTGGGAGGTCCTTGATTTTGATACATGCAGCGTCTCAGACTCCCGGGTTTGGGGAGGCTGTTTTGGGGTGGGTGATGTTTGTTTTTTCCAGTCAAGAGACATGATGGTCATTGAGTCAATCGTATGTGAAAGAGAAGCGTTTCACGTTGCCAGGCTCAATGCCGTGTTGGAGGTGCCTACTAGGCTCCTTGAGAAGAGCTTCTCAAGGCCACACGCGGACGACCTCCCAGGGGTCCGGATTGGAGCACCCGATGTCCCGAACAGGGGAGAGAATTCGGGTCGGAAAGCGATGCGTTTCTTCTCGTTCTTCGTTCAATTCGTTCTTCGTTCTTTCGTTCTTCTTCTTCCTTCTTCTTCTTAATGGTCGCGCGACGCGCTTACATATAGGTTTCGGTATTGAAGGTTTTGCACGAGACCATCCATGGATGCACAACACGGCAAAACGCAGTGAAGCTCAGGGCTCAGGCCGCTTCCTTTCATCGAAGCTTCTTAAAAACTGTTTGGCTGCCAGATGAAAAGCACCAGGGCAACCAATGCAGACACTGCATGAAGCCTGTAACTGTGCTTCCAACGTATTCCCCTTTGACACAGAGTTTTCGAGAGCGGGTCCTTGGGACTGGACTCGAGCGGAGTGGAGGAAAATCTCCCCCCCCTCGGTTTGTTTTTAGATCATCTAAAGCTTCTCCAAGCAACTTGGGATGACAGGCGACTTGTAATGACCCCATTTCTTGGGTAAAGAAAGAGCGAACAGCCCTTCTTGCTCGAATAAATGGCCCTTGAAATGCACGAGGCGTTCCTCACATTGGAGATGTAGAGGTGCCGCCGCTTGGCGAGTTTCGCGCGAGGTGAGGCGGGACAATGCGCAATGGGAAGTAGGCGCACTGGATCGGGCGAGCTGAAAGCCATGGTCTGACTGTTGCATAATTTTTTCGGCATGTCGAACAGATAATAAGAGAGACAAATAATTTACTACACCATCTAGAACTCCTGGCGGAGTGCTTTGTTTGAACAACAGCCCGCGAGGGTGGCATCCAATTTTACTTCTTACTGTACTTCTTTGTAAGTTGCAAAAGCATCTTTTGGGTGCTCTTCGATCAAGCCCTAGAAATCCTCTCGAAGAAGACTATCGGTTTGGCCGAGAATCCTCAGGTTTTAAGGGTTGATCAAACGTGCCTTTGTAGAATGCCAAAGACCAGGTTGAACACGAAACAAGCGTGCACACGCGCGCGTAAGGGGATTCCTTCGTCGCTGAGGTGTCGATGAGGGTGTTTGAGCGGGCCTCTAAAAGGGGTTCGTCCGGCCGCCCATGAACCAAGCTTTGTACCATGTGACTGGGGTGTGGGTGCCTCTGAGGGCGATTTTCCGAGAGGAGACCACCTTGCATTTGGAGTGGCGGCGTGTTCCCAGATGCGTTGGCATCCACACCGAAGCGATAATTAGACGTGCGACCCTTGCGAGCCGGGCAAAGACCCTTCCTCGGTCCGCAAAGCACAGCGGATGCACTGGGGGTGCTTCGGCATTCTCTTCGTTTCACGATTTACAGGGTCAGGTAGCTTCCCACAATGCAGTGGTGCTGGGACCACATGTTCACATATGCACATGCTATCACATGCTGATCTTCCTGTGGTTGAAGGGTCAACGAAGGGCGGCTCCAAAGACGACAGAAGTGCATGGATGGGGGACTCCAGGACGTCCTTTTTGATGATCCCGTTTGGATACTATGGCGAAGGAACCCACGAAGCTGTGGGAGATCGTTTGGGTCCTTCCTGGAGGCACCTGAGAACACTGCAGGCACCTGAGATCACTGGTTTCCATGGTAGAGGATGTGTTTTGAGTCGTTTGTTGGTGGATTCCTACGCTGGTTTGGAAGGTAATCTTCGACTTGATTTCGGGCACAGACCATTGCCGGGGAATCTGGCCCTGTATGACCCACGTCGGAAGCAAGAACTTGGATGTCGGCAGGGTCATCCGCTAAGACTGGTATAGCTTGGACAAACTTTTTGATCCTTTGCAGAACCTCAATTGCCCATATAGACACATCAATTGAATGACCAATCCCAGAATAGCTGCTAGACATGTTTCTACTTTGTTCAACTCCATTTGGGCCCACCCCAGCCATGGGTTTGCCGTGTTCGGCGCAGGTGTTTTTGCGGTTTTTCCCCTGCCGAGGTGGGTCTTTTCAACACCGAACTGTTTTGCCACCACGTCAATCCCAGATTTTGCGGCCCCCCTCCGTCCGGGGCGGAAGAGAAATGGCATGCTGCGTGGGTGCGTAGGATCTGCGTGGCGCGCGTGGCCCGAAAGGGTGTTTCAGGGTGAAAAGGTCAGTCGACCGTTACGTCCGAGGAGGCTCCGGTCCACGCTTCGGTCCGCTTCGGTCTGAGACGGGCGGCTCCGAGTCCGACCGGTGCCCTCCAAGGGCGAAAGAGTCAGACGCGAGGCTCCGGTAGAGAAGGACACTACGACTTGGCACCAGTTTTTTTCTCATTGGATCAACTTGGGGGGTGGGGGACGTTTCCATGGTTCAGTCACTAAAGATCTTAAAACTCTACCCTTGGGGACCTGCTTCCCATCCTTTTCTTTTTTGGCCTTTGGTGTTTGACTCTTCGCGCGCGAAGAGGCGGGTCACCGTTCGCCCTTGCGGACCGCTTCGGCTCCCGAGGTGGTGAGCTTCAGCACGGCCGTCATGGCCGCTCGCTCCGGGTCCCACGGCTGGCAGGCGGCGTCGGCTTACCGGCGAACGCGTCGGCTCGCCCCCGGTCCCTGAGTGTCTTGGGTGGACGAGTTTGAGGGACAGAGAGCCCGTTGATTTCCGTGGGTTTAGAGGGTGATACTCTCAAAGTCTGAGTTGGATTCTTGCATTCAACAAAATGCTTCATGGCATACTTCACTGCTAGAAAGGCTGGCACCTGCAGCAATCCTGGCTATTTGTCAACAGATCAGTTCCAGATGCTGCTACGAAGCTGGTGCTCTTCAACTTTCGTCAAGGATAGTTTCTCAGGGCTCAGTCCTGCTTCACATTTCCATGCTTCACATTTCCATGCGCAGGCCGCAGGCCTACAACCCTTCCATCTCCATCCCATTTGGCCGATCTAACATTCCTGCTCCTCAGCATTTGGCCTAAATCGGGAAGATCGGCGAATCGGGATGGTGACGACGGCGGTGATGCAACGAGGATGTTGTCACGGGCACTGCACGATGGCCAGAGAAGACAGCACCTGCTCTGGAAGCTTGCCCCCAAACCTGGGTAGGTAGGTAGTAAATATAGTATATAGATGGATTTCATCTCACATGACCATTCTGTTCACGAACATGGGAGTCGAACTACGGCGCCATGTTGGGATTCGCTCTCACATTGGAATATTTACAAACACTTGGAGGAACGTTCAATCGAGCTCGTGCTCGTGTGTTGGATTCGATTTGTCGCTGCTTGGGGCGAAATTCGACAAATTCCCAAGGACCGTCCAAGGACTGTCAGAAGCTGACGAAGGTGCCATGAAATCCAATGCTGGAACACCATATGTTCACCACACCACCTTTTGGTTTGCTATTGATTCGCTATCGGTTCTGCAGTTGGAAACGAGTACTGCCCGCGAGCGTGCCGCAGGCAGCTTTGCATTTATTGCAGCTCTCTCTCCAAGGCCGGGTATAAAAGATGCTTGAAGAACCCAAATTGTTGGGACGGGGTGTTTGCCGATCCAAACGACTGGAGACAGGATGACCCAGGTAGGAACAGTAAAGTCTATTCCCTGGGAGTCAAAGACTATAAAACAACCATGGTCTTTGGGTGACGTGATCGAAGACTTTTCCTTCTGCTCGGACCCTTTGCTGCTATCCGCCCTGGATGCTCCCAGTTTGTCACCCGGCGCCCAGTGGGGGATGTAGGAGCTGTCTAGGATTTTTGTTTGGAGGGTCGTGTAAACTCAAGTGCTGTAGATGCAATATGATTCTAGAATGAATAAGATTATTTGAACGATTCGTCACCCGAGATTGCTGCAGGTGGCCATGCAAATGCCTTTGTCTTCACCGCAGCCATCCAGGCACATTCGGAACTCTGACTGGCAAAGTCTTCTCCGGCTGGGCTAGTTTGGGAAGAAGAGTTGCGGCAAAGAGACCAGAGCCTGTCTTGCTGCATTTCTTTTTGAGGTCACAGACTCATGAGGATAGGCCCATCCGCGTGAAAACAGTGGGCATAGGCCGTGATCATGTCTTGAACCTTGGTGGATCACTGGTCAGGTCTGTTAGATTGGACCTTGGAGTGTCTTCCGAGGCCTTCTGCACCACAGAAGAAGCCCGTCTCCACGCGACCGGTCGACGACCACCCGGTCGACCACGCAAGGCGTGCGGTCTGGGCAGTTGGCGCCACGCCTTGGGAGTGCTGGAGGCCATGCGAGGCGGAAGAGAGGGGGAGGGAGGTGGGCTGGAGAATAAATAGATGGGATGAACCCTTGAACCTCTGTAGGTATGGAAAAACCCAAACATCAGCTCCCGCACCTTGTATCACTCACTAGGCCGTTGGGAGCTATGTTGCACTGCCCGACTTGAGAGTTGTTGTGTCAGTTGCGAAGACTCGTCACGACTGGAATTCGATGAGCAACAAACATCCGAAGTCTGAAGAAGCAAACCACACCTGCAGACCCCTCGTTGGATGCTTGTTGTCATGCTTTTGCACGGTTTGCGGCTCTGCGCTTGAACAGCTCCTGGAGCTCCGCAGGTCGCTGGGCTTGGGACCGGTCACATCGGTGGTTTTTTCCAGGAGATCCTATGACTCCATGATCGGGTCCATTCTCGACTGGGCCCTCCTTCTTTCATCGACACCGTGGCAGGCCTGTCCTCTGTGCAGGTGGATTCGACCGTCCTTTGGGCAGCTGGTTGGAGGGTTGGAGGGTTGGAAGAACAATCACGTCTGTGACCTGTGGGCCCGTGGGCACCAGAGTGCCACTTGATTAATCACCTTCCAAACCCTACTGGTACAAGGCACTACAAGGCATTTTTGCACTCCCAGCTTCTCAGCAAACACCTCTGAAGCAAACAACATTGCACTTCCAGACATGCACACATTCCAGTGGCTGGTCTCAACCCATCTTCACAGATGTATATGTTTTTTTTCAGTCACCCTGATTCCCCTTCACCCCGAATTCTGGTGATCCTTCTGACGCGGAAGGGGTTTGCCCCCGCCCCCACCGCCATGGGCCGTCTCTCAGGCCCTCAATGCCTGCGTGACCGCCTGCGAGCGGGCCGAGGGCTGGGCACAGGCCGGGTCGGTGTGGAGGCTGACCCAAACGAGGTTCACCTCCTGACACCAGGTAGCATGGAGAGCCACCAGATGAAAAACGCAGATGTGGTGTCAAAGAGTCAACAGGTAATGCCATGAATCAAGGCATATCACGGCCCTTTTGCAAGACATATGCGAGCAGAAGGTCTGGCGGGGGGTAGGATCTCCTCATGTAGACGGTTGATTCCAAAAGCACCCCAGATGGAGACGTAAAGCCATTCTGGATCAGGAGAGGTGTTTTTCATCGTGTTTCTTTACTCCTCAACAGTCTGCATTTTTCAGGGGGGAAAGACCTGGCACTGCAGTAGCTACTGCAGATGCACCACTGCAGTAGCTCCACCGTTCTCCTTTTTTCGATGACCCGCGACGCCGCGTCGAACCGCGGCGCGAGACCGCCGTTTGTTTTGTCGTCCGACACTCGGCTCGTCGTCCGACACTCGGCTCGTCGAGGCCGTAGAGCTCTTTGAGGCCATGGAGAGCTTCCAGGTCTCCAAGGAGGCGCCGAGCCGGGCACGGGAGAGGAGGGGAGGAGAGGAGGATGGGAAGAGATCCATGGGAGGAGCTTTAGACCGGGGGGGGTTCCAAACTTTAGTCAAGGTTTTCCCGTCGCACACCGCAGTTCTTCTTTTGTTTTGTTTGGGGTGTCAAGAAGTAAGGCCTTCTCTTTGTGTGTGGTTGGTTTGGTGGGGTCAGCTGAAATCCGAGGGTAAGACGCTTCCTCCACCGGTACGAAGCCATAAAACGGTCGCTGGACAACTCCTGTTCTTTATGGAAGATCATGTAGTACTCTTCTAGGAGTTCACTGACCCGCATGTGAGACCGCATGTGCCAAATTCTGCGAAAGGAGCTTGGGACATCTCGTTGGAGATAGTGAGTTCAACAAGTGAGCTCAACAAGCTGATAGATCCTTCGTGATCTAAGCTGAGATCCTTTGGTGATCACCCCCAAGAAGGACATAGAAGGACTGGTGGCCACCAACATCACTCCTGAGTGGCCACGTAGGTCATCAGTTTCAACGCGGCCATCGCTGCATGGCGTGGCCACTGGCCACAAGCCTTGCGGCTGATGAAGGAGCTCAGGCGGAGAGTCCGGTGGAGCTCAGCTCTGGGCCCAAGGATTTTTTCAGACCTTGGGTGGTTTGGCCAAGACAAGCCGTTGGCAGCGATGCCGGGGCCATATACATTAGTTATTATGGACAGATGACTGCATCCCCCGGTATGACCAAGGAACGTTGACATGGCAAACCTCCCGGCAACCTAGGCTAGCCCTCCAGCTTGCTTGGAGGATCATCATATCTGTTCCGCCCCACTCGCAGGGACCCATTCTTTGACAGGTCGGCGGCTCTGGTGCCCAGTGTTGTGACCTGGAATTCCTGCATCTCTGCTGCTGAGAAGGCGCGCATGTCTCAGGAAACGAGGCGCGATTCCTGTGCTTCTGTAGGCTGGAGGCGTCCAGCGCCTCATTCCATCTCTTCCAACGGGGTTGAACCCTCCGGATGCGGCCGGTCCGGCGTCACGATGCGCCGGAGGCCTCGGAGTGGCAGATGGCTCTGCAGATGCTGCAGGAGAGCGCGGTCTCTGTGGTCGTGAGGGTCGTGAGGGTCGTGGGCAGCGGAGGCAGGGGCGATGACGAAAGCAGTGGCAGAAAAAGAGTTGGCAACCTTGGGATCATTCCCCACTAACCATGTGATGCATATGGCTCGAGAGTATATGGTCAAACAACTGACGCCTGAAGTGTTCGCCGTTGGACGCCTGCATGTGGAGTGTCAAGGGCTTTGGATGTGGGATTCGGACCTTGCATCCAGATGCATGGCCTCCTTCTTTGGGAATTCGCCGATCAAAGATCCGCCTTCGTTCGTGTTCCAAGCAGGAGCTCAAGGACGAGGCCAGGGCGGCAGCGGGGGACAGATGAAGCTGGGCTTGGTGGCTTTTCAGAAGGACCTCCCGGGAACTGGGAGTTTTTTCAAGGTTTCAAGTCTCAGCCCAAAGAATCAAACAGCTCCCTCCATGGCAGAATTCGGACCCGAACCACACGGTATACCACACCCTTCCCATTGGAGAAGGGCCCGGATTCTTTGGGTGGTTCTAAAAAGGTGGGACGGGGGGGTTCCATCATGAAACATTTTTTGGACCTGCGGTTGTTTCAAAAGACACACCCAGCCAGCTCGTTTCGCCCTCAACTGGTTGGGAGACCTCTCCAATGAAGAGGTTTTGGGTGGTTTTGGTCTATTTTCCCTTCTTCTGGGAGGTCTCCCTATTCTAAGACATCATACCCAGCATGTTGAACGACTTGTTTCCCGTTCCATGGCCGCTGAGAAAACTCTGTGCCCGCAAGCTACCGTAGGGCTTCACTCGATTCACCATATTCTGCGGTAGACCCGAGCCCGAGGGCCGCCCCAGCGTGGTCTCCTTCAACGCCGTTCTGAGCGCCTGTGAGCGCCGCGGAGCTTGGCGCTGGGCGCTTCAGGTGCTCGAGGTCCGACTTCGGCTCGGTTGAGGTTTAGGGAGCTGTCAGGATTTCTTTTCGGTTTGGGGCGGAACAGACCCACTTGAATTGAAGGTTGGAGGATCTACATGTCCGGAAGTTTTTGCATTTTCATTTTTATGTTGCTTTTTGGAGTGAGTGAGGTCTTTGATAGGCATTTGCTTTACAGGACCGTTTTGCAGACTGCACTGCTTGCAACTGTGGCAGGACATGCCCAGATCAGCCGTGAAGCCGGATGCAGGATGCTTGGTGGAAGTTGGTGGGACTCGGACTCAATACCTTTGGACATCATACAAACAGCAAAACCCTAGTTCAAGACGCGCTTTGCTTCTAGAGCCTCCCAACGTTTTTAGCCTGCCAAGAGAAGAGATTTGGTCGGAAGCGCTTGTGCACCCTGCCTGCCCAAACAATTGGAGTGGCAGAACCTAGACATGAGTGAGATTTCTGGAGCCATCGGAGACACCACAATCGCTGACTGGCATGAATGCTCCACTTTGAGCTGCACAAGCTAAGGAAGCTATGGTGCTGTGTCACTGGGCATGGTTGGCGCTGTGGTTAGCCTACGTTGCCTTGGGAGTTCTTCCATAAGTGATATTGGATCCAAATAATTCTAACGATTACTAGCTGTTGCAGGAGTTTGCTCATTAAGGATTGCAGGAGCTAGTTGCGAGTCCTTTAGTAGAGTGTGGTGGTTCCCCGTTTCAGGGTACAAAACTCCTTCACCGTAATGTGCACATGCAGCCGACACGAGGGTTCAAAGGATTCTAGGGTGAAGAAGTCAAGACTGCAGCCGCATCGGAAGGGTCATGAACGATGGCCCTCACACGGGCAACCTTAGACGTCTTGAAAGCGATGTACAACCAGGTTCTCTGGTTTTGTTGGGAACACCCATGCCTAGCTGGGCAGACGACGCGTTGCACAAGCCCTTGCTGGGGATCAGGCTCACGGCCGTGGGCCGCGAGGCGGTTTGGTGGGAGACTGCCTTGGAGCTGCTCCAGCAGGCGCGTTGGGCCAGTCACTCCGTGAGGAGTTGATGACCGAGAAACGCTAGACGCGCTAGACTATACCATGGCTGGCCACCGGTTGCCGGTCATGGCTGGGCACCAGGATGCCCTTGTCCAACGGACAAATAGCATAATTGTCGCGGTGACCATGGGATTTTGTGGTTGACAAGTGATCAGGTAGAGTCAGACCTCACATTGACATGACGTGCTTGGTCAATCGGTGCAACTTTTCTTTCACCTAACAATCAACATGAGTCGGTTTCAAACTTACAAGCTCCCCCGCATGGTCGTTCCCTTACTTTTCCTACTCCCAACTTTGCTTAATGGCTCCAAACTACCAGCTTCTTCAAAATGACCTCTTTGGAGTGCCTAAGTGACCCTTTACAGACCCAAGTGATCTCAAATACGGTGATCTCAAAGGGTCACTTAGAAGAACCAGGTACCAGGAGTCACAAGACGGGGTGCCGAACGAACGGAGGAAGGAGGTTAGGTGCCCCTGTCACATCCACTCACTGGATGGGACAAAAACGCCACCCAACTCCATGTGACCCCTGGTAGTGGGATCTTTCAAATTGATTAATTGAGAGTTTGGGACAAATTGAGAGTTTAATTGAGAGTTTGAACATCTGGTAGTGCACTCATGTGACAAATTGAGAGTTTGATACTGTAGAGTTTGGGACCTTTCAAACCCCCCTTCTACGCCGACGCCTTGGCTGGCCGCCGGGTCCAGGCCTGGGATTCCGCGCGGGACTCCTCGATGTCGAGGAAGGAGTTGCTGGAACGCGTGACTCGGCAGCGAACATACAGTGGATTGAGAGTAGAAGGCACAAGGGCCCCAAGTTGGGTGATTTTCAGTAATTTTCAGGAACATTTGAGGTCTGTGCCATCTACTCCGAAACCATTGTAAGTACCAGCACCCGACTCTACCGGTCTCTTCGAAAGTGGCATTTGGGAGACCGAACGTGCCGGAGGCAGGTGGTGACCGAACGTGCCGGTAGATGCCAAGCGACTTTTGAGGTAGACCGGATGGGAAAAAGTGCCGGTAGACACACTTGCGTGGATCAAGGTTTTCGGGTGGTCCTCAATCAAGTTCAGGGCGCTAAAGGCCGCTAAAGCCAGTATTGCAGTAACAGAACAAATGAACAAACCAGCAGTCACAAAGGGTTGCATATTGGAGGAAGTCGGGGTGCCCATTGTCCACTCACTGGATGGGACAAAAAAGCCACCCCTTTGTGACTCCTGGAAGTCTTGTTTTCCCCAGCTGCGATGTTTCGGCTTGCTGGGTCGGAATTCCAGCGCCTTAGCGAGATGGACCTCGACCATGATTTATAAGGACCACCAAGCCACCACGAAGACATATTAAACAACATTTTTAGAACATGTATGTGTATATTGTATATACTACATATTACATATTAATTAAGATGCACACAAAATACTTTTCCGTCTATTATATATATGTTAAATAAATACGTAAATAAGAGCATAAAAAAACAATAAACAAATAGATACATCTATTGATACATAATTATCCGAAACACACCTCAACGTCCAAACCACCGTCGCTAGATGAGGCCATTGTCGCTGTGATGCGCGCCGGACGCTTGCCGGAGGCACCTGGGCTTGCCTGGACTTGCCGGGAGACCACATAGTCTGTGAAAAGATGGGGGTCCATAGAAACCAGCAAACTTGGGGTTTGTGCCATCTACTGTGAAACAACTGTATGTTGCGGCCTTGGTTTTTGTAAATGAATATCTCCAACACTCAACCTCAAGATGGCAGCCTGGAAGACCCTGGTTTCTTCTGTTGTTATGTTCTTTTCTAAGGGCGGTTGTTTTTGTGAGTTTGTGGCCCTTTTTACAGCCCGCGCCTACTGCTCTGCCAGGCTGTGTGCCTTTACCGGGAAGCCCAAGTGTTGGGATTGCCCGGTGCCTTAGTCCCTTTCTTTGCGGCGTGAGTGGGGGTCCTAGCCGCCTGGATCCTTTGGTCTACCAGAGAGGTCTGACCCTTTGTCCAACGTGGAAGCCAGCGGCCCGAACGGCTCAGGTGTGCGCCTTCGCGGGGTCCCGACCTGCTGGACCCGCGGACCGTCTGCTTTGGTGGACTCTTTCGCGGGGGGATGGAACCAATTTCCTCCTCGGCTTGGGCGACTGCAGACCTTGCCCATTTGAATCCATTGGCCTCCGTTTTTTGCTGTTCCGGATTTTGTCTTTGTCTGGTGGCCTTGAACGGGATCTGGTTCCCATCAGAAGTCTCCCATGGCCATGAGCTCGCTCCGCACTCGCTCCGCACGAACCCACCCCCACCCCCGTCCACCACGCTCGCCACGCGGTTCAGCGGGGTGTTCGACCCCGGCAGTTGCCCTGCCCCCCTCCAAAAAGCCGCCCTCCGTCGAGACCGGAAGGCCCGGCTCGGACGGGGGAAGGACCTGCACGACTTGGCCTTGGAGGCCGCCCTGGCGGCCGTGTGCGAGCGGCTCCTGGCGGGGGTGGACACAGGCCGGAGGGGCGGTGCAACGTGAGCACGCGCGGCTTCCACTCCATTTTTGTGGGTGAGATTGATGGAATCCACAGCATGTATTTGTGAGTTAGTACTTGAGGATACTATTTTCTATTTATGAAGACGCACCAGACTATGATGTTCATTCCACCACCACTATGATCCCACATTGATGTTTTCCCAGGCGAGTTGGTCCTCATCACCGGGCGAGCGTCGCATAGCCGAGAAGGTGTGGAGGCTCAGTGCGAGCAGGGCATCCGGATGAAGCGAAGCTGGGCCTGGAATTCTTGGCTCTTCCAGGCTCTTCCAGGCGAGAAGCTGCTGGAAGAGCAGCCAAATCGCTCCCAATGGACCAGTCTTGGGAAGTCACCCTGGATCGTTTCCATTTCGTGGGAAGGAGACCAGGCAGCAACTTGCTTCTTCCTCTCTGGGGGGAAGAAACTTCCATGTCCCAACTATCGCTCCAGGCAGCGCTTCGATGAAGGAGGCCTTGGTTCACTTCTTAGACTCCGAGTCGGGGCGCCCAGAAAGGACGCCCGGAACCGCGGTGGAGCGATGGTTGGCCATCTCCCGCGGTGGTTTGATGTGGTTTGTAAGGATATTTGAACCATACATGCTATACAAAAACGCATCAAAACATGGAATGTAAAGCTGGTCATGTGAACTGCCATGGCATCACCAAATGTTGGCAAACATGTGGTGGCGATAGGTAACCTTGAGGAGCAATACCCCAAGAAGTATACTGTGTAGATGATGGTGTAATGATGGAGCCATGTCAGAACTGGCTGCACAGGTGCAAGATGTTTTTTTGGCTGACTTGTGTTCCTTGGCTGTTTGTCAGCGGGGGCTGTCAATACAGAAAATAGTGTTTGTCTCTTGCGGCCTTTGGATGAAAGGTGCATTCCATTGCTGTCTTCGAGACCACCGTGACCCAGCAATGGAATGACCCATTGACAACGTACTCGTTGTAAATGAACCCAATGACAACTCTTTTCTGAAACCCTTCGTCTTTGCTTTAATGTCATGATGGGTCCATGATGCTCTGGGATTCAAGTCTTAGCGCTTCATTGTTGGGGATCGTCTTGGTCAGCTTGGGGAGAACAAAACGCCGGGCTGGATAGTCTTGGTCAGCTTGGGGAGACCGCGGCCTTGGTCTGGGCGTTCCGTTTGGCATGTGTGAGAAAGTGGAGCAAATGCCAAGATCCTTCAGGCATGGATGCCCAAGAAGCTTTAAAGATGTGATGACTACGTCTTTGACACGGAGTCAAAAACACCATCTTTTCCACGCTGTTCTCTCCCCGCGACCGGATACGACCTGTTCCTGGCATCATCGACCACGGCGACCGCAGACCGTCCCGGGACCTCCGAGCGCCCGACCCACTCGGCCGGACGCCTGAGGCTTGGCCTTGCCACCGGCGAGGTGCCCGGGAATCCAGGCGGGGTGGACGACCCGAGGAACGGGTGCGGTGGGGCGCCTCGGTGGGGCGGGAGGACTGGAGGAGTTCACTTGGAGAGTCCGGTGTCCCATCACCAAGCTAGGGCGCCTGGTGGTGAACGTGGTCGGGAGCGGACCTTGAAGGAAGGGAGTTCCCTAGCTGGCCATCTGAGGATTTTCATCCTGTTTAGGGCCTCAGATCTTGCTGTAGATGCTCCTCCACCTGTTCTACAAGGACTCAAACGAGCCTTGAAAGCAGCTTGTGCCTTTTTTTCTTCGCATGGTGGGGCAAGAGGGTCTACAACCGCACACGTATGCAACCAGAAAAAACAAAACAGCAGGGTAGCACCTCTCACGCATGCAACTAGAAGAACCAAAGCAGCTTTGCAGGCCCCCAGATGTTAAGAAGACCATTTTGCAAGATTAAGACAAGAAGCCTCACTAACATTCACTAATGGATTTTTCTAAATGATGTCTCTTCAGGCCGCCTCCATGTCTCGCTGCCCGTGGAGTTCCAGGGGCCGGGTCAGGGCCCTGTTGCGGGGAGGGTTCCGGGAAGGGTGGGTTGGATCAGTAAAAATTTGTCACCTTCAAGAGCGACCTCAGCTTCATTCACCCCTTCCGGTGACCTGGGAAGGGCCTGAGAAGGAGCAAGGACCTGGCAAGGGCCTGGGTCTCTTTCGGTTTTGCCGCTCTGTGGTAGGTTGAATCCAGGTTTGCAGGAGCATTTCACGGACTTTTTGTGGGCTTCGAATCTTGAACATTTTGTGGTCTGTGCTTTGCTAACCCTCAAACTCGCGACGACTCCGTCAGGCCGGCTGCAGCAGCGAGAAAGGAAGAGCCAAAAGAAGTGCGGCCGTCACCCCTCGCTGGGCAGCTAGAGCTCTGCGAGCCATGTTTGTGGAGATGTCAGCTGGAGCTCCACAGCATCTGATTGACAGCTGTTTTGATTGGAAGCGTTTCCTTTTTTGGGATGAAGGCAAAAGAGGGGTCAATCAGGATCCAGGACTCTACAACGAGCATATATCAGTTCAAACTGACTCAATACCTAAAGCATGTCAAAAAAGCAAGATCAGAAAAAGAGCAGGCCCAAAATGACCAGGGTCAAAAAAAGCGTCACCATTCCGATGATCTCCCCCTAGTCTCCTGGTCCGCTGGTGTCCGCCACTGGAGGACAGATTCTCGACCGCCCACTGCACGCACGCAGGTGTAACACCATCCCCACCGACATGGAGCCCGAGTATCCGGGTGACTTGACGCTGGAGCGGGTTCGAAACGCACTTCCGCCCGCCCCCTGATCCTGACTTCCGCGCCTGAAAATGAGATGATTCGAGTCAAAGCCACCCTAAAAGTCCAAGTGGTCTTGTTTCAAATGGTCTGACTGGGTGACCCGAGGTTCGGAATGTCCTTGGGTGGGGCAAACATAGATATATCATAATATATCTTCGGACTTCTAAGGGCAAACAGAAATTGAAGCCATCATTTGATGGATCAGAAGAGGTGAGAACGTGAGAGGAAGGAGGGGAGTCCGGTGAAGTATTTGGGCTTTCAAATCAGACCGTATGACACGATCACCTTTGCTACATCCGCCTTTTTCAAGCTGAACGCCACCTGAACGCTTCACGCCTCACTTCTTCGACGTCGATCACAACACCCCTGTTCCTCCGCGTCTTCGCGCGATTTGTGTTGAGTCAGAGACAAATCAGATGATGGCCTTGGAATCTGCAGATGGCTGGTATGGCTGGATTCTGGTTGGTTCAACCCCAACCTGTTGCCGGGATTGTTTCAGAGTCCGACCCTTGCTCCAGTCCAAACTTCTGTTGCATGTCAAGAGTTGTGTGGAGCAAGGGACATGTGGCTTCACACCAACCCTGAGATTCCAAATACATCCTGATAAAGGTAGTTCGACCCCCCCTGCCCTACTATATAAAATACATTAAAATACCTTCTCAGTACTTGGAAGTCTACAACTACTAGTGTTCAAAGTAAGAACTTCCAGGAGAACGCTACTAGGGGCTCCTGGCCGTACTACTTAGGAGCAAGGACGCTACGAACGGGGCTCCTGGCATCGCTACGAACGGAGCGATTGGACGCTACGAACGGGGCTCTTGTGAAAACCTGGCGCCAGGAGAGCCGCATCTCGAACCTCGTCCGGTGGAACGCCGCGGTGATGGTCTCCGACGGGAACCGCCGCGCTGCCGGGGTGCCGCCCCGTCCCCCGCGCGCGTTGGGGAGAGCAAGGCTGCTCAGACTTCCACTGATGCGTTTTACGGGTGTTGAGCAGGCAGCCTTTGCCTTTGCTTCTAAAATTGAGACTATATATAGGTACAGAACCAGGCGAGCCTTTCTTCTGAAGGTCCGATCTGGAAGTCGGGGACATCGTCACTTGGATTTGTGCAAAGGTCGAGCGATGATGTAACCTGCTGACGATTGTACCTGCAGGACTCGAGATCGAGACTGACGGCATGTTAGGTTTTGAACCTCCCTCCTTCGAGCCGAGTCCCATCCGAAGACATTGTTCAACTGGAAAAACGAGCTCAGAAGCAAGACCAGTGACTCCTCTCTCTATCTGCTAGACCAGCATGTCTTTGTCTCCCATAGATGCATTTCCAGCCCGGGCAAGAGCTTCGAGCCCATGGACGATGCCACCTGGTCCGCTCTCCTTGACACTTGTGCCCGGACAGCTGGGGACCCTCTCTCCGAGTGTCCGGAAGGATGGGAGCTGTGCTTGCTGGCCAAGGTGGCCGCCCAGCGCTTTGGACTCTCGGTCCGGAAGCTGGAAATGGTGCTGCTGGAGGCTGAGACCCTGGAGCAAAGCCGTCAGATCCTGCATGCGGCGCTGCCCAAGACCACTGACATCGAAGAGCTCTTGGCACGTGCCGAGCGCGACCCGCGCGGGGCGGAGCGCCGCGTTACGCGCTCGCGCTCGCGGAGGCGGCAGGTGCTGGGCGCGGCCCGGGCCAAGTTGGCAGCGCTGCGGGTTGAGCACCCGGCTGCGGTGCAGGTGGGCGAGCTCACGGGGCGCTTGCTGCTGGCGGGGAAGGAGCTGTTGCGCGCAGGGGACAGCTCGGTGGGAGCCGCCGCGCTTCCGGCACAGTTCACGTCCCTGCGCGCGCCGGTGAGTGTGGGTCCTCCGGCGTTCTTTCCCGTGGGCAACGCCGCGGGACGCTTCCTGCCTTTGACCTCGGACCTCTCTGCGCTGGAGCCGCGGCTGCTCTTCGTGGGGCTCTCGGATTTGCGGCACCTCTTCGTGGCACTGGAGGCCTTGGAGGGAGGACCGAGGTCGGTGACCTGCGTGTTGAACGACCTGAATGCTGAGACCTGTGCGCGAAATGCTTTGATGCTGCAGTTGCTTTCAGAAGGCGATTACCCATTAGGGCACAGGATCCTGTCCATTTTCACTGTCTGGTGGTTACATGAACTTCCCATGCCAGCTGTGCCACTGTTGTGCCATGCAGCTGAACAAGCGCAGAAAAGTTGTTGCACAGGAACTCGACAAGTGCTACAGAAATGGATTCAACAATGGAGAAGTGATGCCGGTTTCACTGGCACCGAGCTGCAAGAGGTCTTGCAGACAGCTGACTTGTCACAATCCGACCTAGCTGAGGCTGCTGAAGCTTTTGCACATGCGCCATGTGTCTTCAACCTCACGCTCCAACACACTTCCGCGCGCCTTCAGTACAACTTGCATTCGGGCCAAGCCGTGCCTTCCGGCTGGCAAGATGCTGGAGACGGGGTCCTTCTGTGGCCACCACTGCCCGAGGACGAGGAGTTCGATCCCGACGCCGGCGCGCCCGGCCGCGCCGAGTACTTGGGGGCCTTGACGAAGCTGCTCCCACGCAGCGCGCAGGCGTTGGCGGCGCTGGCGCCGTGGGGCGGTTCACTTCGATGGTCGGTGCGGGCCGGCGACTGCCTGGCGCTCAGGTGGAGTGGGAAGACTCGCTTTGAGCGAGTCTTCACGTCGAATGTGGCAGACCATGTGGGGGTGGTGAACTTGGTGGTGGCTTTGGTGCCAGTCTTGGAAGTGCCAGATGGGAGGCTGGAAGTCTGTCTGAGCAACAATCTTAAGGCGTTGGACCTCCAGGGTGACATTTTCAGCCTCTTTCCCAAGCTGTACAACCTCACGGTGGAGGAGGTGAGTGACCTCTTGGGCATCCGCTGTGAATCGCCGCAGCGAGATCAGCTCTGGATATATCCTCGTGAAGCTGTGGAGGTGAGCAGAGGTCCAAGACTGAAAGGGCGCATCTTTTCGGGTCTTGACCTAGTTCCTCCCAATGGAAGATCTATTTAGGACCATGCACTCTACATCATTCTACCATATTCTACCAAGTGAACTGGAGTTGATGGACATTTCATGACATTCACCGGTTCTTTTGCACATCTGGTTACCATAGTCCCTTGATTTTCTTAGAGATGCTCATCCAGGCCACTGAGACGAGACCGTCGCGTGCCCTGGTCGACTGGCTCGTGTCCTCGACTGGGCGGCTCTACCGTTGCCCTTCGCCGGACCCCGAGACGCTCCTCCGGCGGCGTGCGCACGGGGACGTGCTGGGCATGGCGCTGCGCTTTCTGCGGCGCTTCACCTGCTCCAAGGCGTCGAAATGACGATGGGTGGAGCCCACTACTAGTAAGAAGGTGCATCGCTACAAGTAACGAAGCCACTAAAGAAAAAGAGGAGCGAGTCTACGGTGGAGTCTGCGACAGGGTGACTTGTATAATGAAATATAAAGAAAGACCGATGCAAAAACGAATGAACATATAACGGACCACATGCATCCGCATACCATCATACCCTACCACATCTTACAGTACCACCACGTTCTCTCCTTGAGTCCAAGCTCCAGGTGATGCTGCTGACGATCGCCAGTCTGCTGAAACAACGGCAGATCGATGGTTCCACGACTGAAGCCGAAGCCGCGCTGAAAGAGGTGCTGGTGGCAGCGCCCTTTGGGGAACAGCAGCTGGCGCTGCTTCTGCCAGAGCTCCAGGTGTGCTGGTTTTGGACATGGCATCGGGGGTGGGTATCCTTCAGGGCGGAAGATGGCGCCAGCTCAACCGCTCAACCATCCGTGAGCAGCACTTGGTTGAGCGCCCAGTTCTTGTTTGACAGACCGTACCCATCGCAGGGAACAGGATCCTTAGACGTCCAACCATCAGTTTAATAGGCTGAATCCCGAAGCACCATTGTTTTACAGACTTTACACTCTTAAAACCATGTCAACCATTTTTAAACATAGTCTTGGAAAGTCTAGGGGAACAGATCTGCCACACGAAAAGAAGGACTTTTCGTTCGACCATGAGCAGAGAGGTCTGGGTGGGTCGCAGATTCAGATTCCTGCTCAGCTCAATTGTAGAGTGCTTGCGGCTTTGGGATTGAGGCTTTAAGCAGGTGATTCTTGGAAACTGCCTTGTGATCCAAAGTAAAAGCCATCCGCACTTTGCTCTGAATTTTCTGAATTCAGTATCTCCCCATCGCATCCCTACAGTATAAGGCCCTAAGTCCTTGCATCTCCAGAGGCCGAGCCCCGACACTGGCGCCTGGCGCGCTTCCGCGTGGCGACGGTGCCGTCCTGGGCGTGGCGGGCACGCCCCACGGTGGTGCTTGCGTGGGCGCGCGGACGGGCGTTGAGCAGGGCCAAGCAGCAGGGCGTGAGGCTTCAGCCGCAGGAGGGGTCGGGACTCAGCTGTGGATTGGACTTGGTGTCGATGTTTCTGTACTGAGCTGGGGCGTGCGGCTGTCGATTTTTTTGCTGCATAGGGTCATTCTTCTCCTTGGTATCTAAGAGTAGATAAATCCCGGTAACAAACTGCCAGGGGAAGATAATTCTCAGCGACGGGTTCTCCTGAGGTTCAACCAATTGGCAAGCCCGATGGGGTGAGCATTCTTCTCGTTTGTCGTGTGCGGACGGACGGACCATGATCATGTGGCATCGTGCCTTGTTCCTCGAAGACCTCTAAATACTGCAATGGATAAAGTCTTGAGTCAAGGTTATCACAAGCATGTTCTAGAACATATAGAACATTAGAACACACACATATATATATATATATAATTATATATATATAATATAGATTTTGTTTTTTGCTGATGTTTATTATTGCATATCAGACATAGTACAGTAATATTCATGTGTAGTTTGCTGCACTTGGACCATGGCTGTCTTACTCGCACGTCGCACGGTAGCGTGGACACAGCAGTCTCCGCTGAGGAACCCATGTGGCCGAAGTGCCGCCGTGAGGCACAAGTCGAGTTTCTGAGGAAGGACCCTGTGGCTTCGAAGAGCGACGATGGGCTATTAGGTACGGTGTTCAGGTACGGTGTGTGTTTGGTGGGTGTGCATTAGAACTAGGGAGACCTTCCAGATTAGACCTCTATATAATATAAGCACAAAAACTAGACTAAAACGTATGGGCCAGGGTGTCTGCCTATTCAAAAACACGCCCGGATGAGCATTATTATGTTTTTGGATTGGGACGCCTTGTGGGACGCCTGCCCTCCCACGTAGGACGCCCCCTGATTCCTCAGCCGTACGGTCACGATGAGCCAAGAAGGCCAATGCAGATGAGAGACCTTCTCAACAAACAATAGAACACATGGACTTTGGTGCATCGTTTGTTCTCGGACTTTCCAGAGGTCAGACCATGTGACCTGGTCATGGACTGACCTCCTGGTTGATGGAGGTCATGGTCATGGTCGCTCCGGCCGCAGGAGGTCTGGGGGCACTTGAAATGGTTCCTGAAGTCTCCAGAGGTCCAGGTGATCGAAGCCTTTGACCTGCACGTGCAGGAGTCGGACCGACCATCGGAGACGACCACCAGTGGATTCTTGTGTCTTTTTTCGATTCATCCAAGTTGAACCCAAGTTCATCCAAGAAATATTCTTAGCAAGTTCTGTAGGGCCCATGTTTTAATAATTAATACCACTGGTGACATGCCACATCTGGTTTTGGGCACGTTTTTTTTGCTTTCTTGCAGCAGGACGGCTGCTTGGTGGTCACATTTCCGCTGGAAAGCTTTGAGGTGGACTTTGGCCTGGGCGGTGCGGCGTTTCTGGTGAGCGCCATCGACAACGTCATCGTCACCGGACCTCACGGCCAGGAACAGTTGGAGATCGTCGACGGCGAAGCCAGGAAGGAAGATTAATGATCAGTGGCTGAAGTCACGCATGTATAAATATAAATAATATACATAGATGTTTTGAAGCAGACCGTTTGGGTGCTGGGTGCGTCCCGTCTTGTCTTCTGAGACGCTGGACCGTCTTGATGGCTGGACCGTCTGACCGCATCGGATCTCAACCTCTTGGGACGAACGACCGTCCGGGCTCTGCACGGCGCTGGCGCGACCGCAGGGGCGACCGCAAGGGGCGACGTCGTGGAGTCGGAGCTTCATTCAGCTGGAAGTGCAGGACTCCAATCGATTCCTACTGTATTGGATGCCGGTGGAATTGATATGGTGTTCTACTTGATGAGACGAACACGCATCACCCACAAGCAAGACTCGGCAAGAAGCACATGGAGAACCTGAAATCTCCATCGCTGCAGGGGTCTCTCAGAGATCACAAGCGGCTTCGAATGAAGAGAAAGACATCACGCGGCATCAGCTCATCGAAGCTTCGCGGCATCAGCTCATCTCAGAGCTGACTCTGGCATCTACTCTCCTCTCGCTCCTGGACCCCTCGGGTGAAAAGAAGACCACGCTGCCTCTGGAGGAAAATGGCGGCGAGGACCCAACCTCAACTGAGACCTGGAAATCATTCTCAAAATGTTTGAAAGAGGATCCGTTGCCTCAAGATTTGTTTGAGGATGGTTTGGGTGTACCATATATCAGGTTGGCCAGTTTTCAGGACGACGTGCTGGGGGTACCAGCCTCACCAAAAGAAGGGCGGCGCAAGGGCACCCCCACCAGTGTGAGCTTGGTCCAAACTCAGTGGGCTGCGGCTGATGTGAGCCGCGAGAAGGGTACATTGCAGAGAATTTAACCGTTTATCTTTGTTAAGTAATTAAGTAATTTAACATCATAAAGTCCTTTCTAATTTCACTGAGAAGGGTACATTGCAGAGAATTCGAAAGTACTTTATGAGGAAAGTACCTCCCAAATCTTCGCTTTCCCCTTGCAGAGAAGACTCGTCCCCCTATTGAAAGAGTCGCCGCCCTCCATGTTTTCGGCAGGGAGTCCCCGAGGCAAAAATAAAGGCAGGGAGATCCCCGGTTCCAAGCTGAAGAACACCTGGAGGTCGGTGGCCACATTGGCACCTTTGCGTCCATTTGTGATGTTTTCGAGGCTGGGGGTGGGGGGTGAAGGTGAGGCTGGGGGTCAAGGGAGATCGATGGGGGTGAAGGTTGCTTGACAGAGGAACTGCTTGACAGCCTCTTCTCAAACGTTAGTATGTTTTTGTTGCCTGGTGGCTCATGCTCATGGCTCATGTTTTGCCCGACGAACTCGAGGCAAGATCCCTTGCTCTTGAACGTCGGCTGCGAACCGATGGGAGGTTGACCTCCGGAGACTGGGATCGGCTTCAATCATGGGGTCCTTCAGCATGACATCATGACATGGGGTCCTCCAAAAAAGGGGTCCACATGGTCATGGGGTCATGGTCATTCCATTCAGTCCAGTCATGGGGTCCACATGCCATGACATCATGACTGCCATGTGGATGGTGGACACCCTCCACGGCCCCCAACATTGGGATGCCACCAAAGCCCAGCAGCCGCCGCTCGGTCACAGCGGGTGGGCTCGGTCGCCTCAGTGGATGGGGACCGCTTTCGGTAGCACGGCACCACACGCGCGGAGAACTCGAGGCGGCTCAAGAGAACTTTCGAGTGAAAGGAAAGGGTGTGTTTTTTTTTTTTTCACTCGAAAAAGCAAAAGTGCAGGGCTTTTCACTCGCTGGTGGATTTGCCCATGAAAAAGCTGCAGAACTGAATGCAACAACGAAACGCACTCAAGTGCGCGTGTTATAGATGGTCTTAGATAGATGGTTTAAGGATGTTTTAGGGGCATCACTTGCAGCACTCACCGGTCCAACCAATTGCATGGCGAATGGCTGAGGCTGGACTCCGGAAAGGAAAGGACACGTGTGGTGGACTGAGTGGTGGACCATTCAAGGATCAAACGACACACTTAAGGAGTCCACAGTACTTGTACCCAAATATATCTACTGTATGTAGACTCCCAAATAGATAGGCAAGTAAATCTCCACTAAACATGCATTTAGAAACCGTGCCACAAATACTCTTTGGGGACCAATTTTTATACTTGTGGATGCCAAGTGAATGCACGACGTCAGATCATGGGGATCCGCGGGCCAATCTTGTGGGCCAAACTACCAATCTTGTGGACTTGATATACTTGTGGAGCTCCATTTCTTGGCCATCCGACTTCCGTGCTGCCCGCGTGTGATTGAGAGCAGCTCGCCGGTGCTTTCCTGGTTTACTGGTACCAAAAGATTGAGAGCTTGGAGAGTGAAGGATTGAAGTGCATGGGTGATCTCAACCAGCAAAGCATGCCTTGTGACAAAGGCCCTCGCAAGAGTACTGCTTCCGTAACTGCAGGTACTGCAGCTATAAACGCACGCAGCCTGCAAGTAGATGCAGGATGATGCAAGTAGCACCTCACTTCGCTCACGTCTCCTTTCGCGCTCTCACCACTGAATCAACACCTCGACCTCGCCTGTCACATGCAGTTTCGCCTGTCACCTGTATCACATACCCCCCCAAAACAGGTCTCCTGGACGAAGAGCGAAGGCTTCTCATGACCCTTTTTGGATCTCTTTCGCCAGGATCTGGTGTGGGAGCGTGATTCTCCAAGGCGAAAGGACCGGAGCTTTCGATGAACGGTGGGTTACGTGGTGAGCTCCGCACATTTTGGAGAAAGCAGGTCGGTGAAGAGGAGGAGCAATATTGATGATCAATAGCGATGTTTTATGGGAAAGCATGGATATATAACCGAGGACAATCTGTACATGTTCCTCTACAAGGGAGTGTCGGACACTTCCTTGAAGTGCACTGTAGTGATCCCTGCTTGCAGTGTCCACGGAAGAAACTCCTGGTGGACATGGGCAACGGAGACATCCAGAAGGGCACCCCCCAACCCAGGTTCAAGATAGACTTGGCTGGCACCAGAATCCGTGTTGCGATGTTTTTGGGCTTCTCACTCATGCCCGACGAACAGGATGCCCGACCGTTGTTGGTTGTTTGAATGGGCGGCACCCAACAAGTCTGGAATTGCGGCCACCCCCTGCGTAGAACCCGTGCAGCCTTAGTGAAGACTCCAAGGTACTTGTACATGATGGCTTTCTGGTATTGATGCTTCATGCTAGGAGAGCCTATATATCAATGGCTCTAAGGCGCCGATGCCCAAAGGGCCTTGATGAAGAGAACTCCCAGGTCCTCGAAGATCGCGTGAGCGGCGGCCATGCAGAATTGAGAGTTGGTGGATTACCGGGAGCATTTGTAAACCGTAAAACCCTCTGCAGGGCTGCGTTTTTCTCAACCAACCGACCACGACCACCTGTGCAAACACGAAGAGACGCCACCGCGACCCGTATGGCTCTCACAGATCTTTTCGAAGCGTTCGACCGGTGCCGGGGACGGTGTGTTCTCTTCGCCACCGCGCGGCGATTTGTTCGAGCCATGCTACGTTTGAGCTGGGCCCCAGCGCTGTGCGTGGCGGCCCTGCAGTTCTGGAGCTTGGCCTTGGCTCGAAAAGCGCCCAACATGATTTGGATCATGGCCGATGATCTGGGCTGGGGCGAGGCGTGACATGGAGCCGGGAGCCTGGGTTATAGGTGGGAAGGTAGGCTAAAAGAGTGGCAGATGTCAAATAGAACAAGTTTCGATGTGGTTTTGAAGGTTTTGGACATGCGTATTTTCAGTTGTGGTGGCAAATGATGCGCAAATCACATCTCCATGGCATTTGCTTGAAGGGCACAGCTAGATCAAAAAACCATTGTAAGATGTTGTATATAAACGTGTGTGGGAAGCCGTTTTTCAGTATGGAGAGAAACCCTCCTGAAATTAGGCCTTCTTTGACACCAGGTTGGCCTGTATCCTGCGGAGTCTCCGCACGGACGCATCGCCACGCCCAACCTGGACCAGCGGCCTGAAGATGAGCTGAGTGGGTCACTGTGGGATGTGGGTTTTGTCAGGAAAGTCTCAGGAAGCTCTCTCAAATACGAATATCAATCCGTTTCCCAAGTGTTAGAAGTCTACAGGATCCCTAAGACTTCGATCTTGCAAGGACGCACATCATCCCAAGTCATCCCTAATCCCGAAATCCGACATGTCAGTCCACATGTCCACGTTGTCGAGTCAGATCTTCCACTACCTCCTGGTGACCCCCCCGGGGTTCACAACCTACCAAGGTTCGGACGGGAAGGCGTGCGCTTCCAGCAGGCACGAGGGTCCGGGGGTCGTTTTGGTGCAGATGGTGAGGTAAAAAAGGAAGAGTCTTGGGAAGAAGCAAAAGTGTCCATTGGTGCGCAATATTCACCAAATTAAGGCCCACAAGCAGTGGTGTATGAACAACCCATTCAGTACCCACCACCCATTCAGTGGTCTTGATCTTCGTGGAGAAGCGGTTGTTTGGGTCAGAAAGAAGAGCTTACAAGCACTTGGTCTCCCCAGTGCTGATGAAGCGAAGCTGAAGAATGGCGCTGTACCGAGGAACCTCACCAAACAGTGGCGGTTAGTGAGTATAAATCTACTCTCCTGGATACCAGCGCCATGGATTTTGTGGTTTTGACCTCACTCGAGGGAGATTCTTGGGGCGCCCTTTTCGCCGCAGCCTTCGAACCTCGCGCGTGCGAGCTTCGCCACGGTCAGGCCTATGCGGGCTACACCGTCTGCGCGCCGAGCCGCACCACGTTCTTCACCGGGCGCCACAGCGGGCACTTCCGCGCGCTGCAGCTGAATGGTGAGGAGTTGAAGCCTGAGCCTCAAATGGCACCGGAACTGGGGGGAGACATGGGGAGAAGGTGAGCTGAGGGCTGAGGGGGGAACTTGGATGGTTCAATCGCCAGGTAGCGAAGATGGGTTTCTACATTCCGCTTGGAAAGACCTAAGAGCTGGCAGAGAATAAACTCGAGCGGGATCTGAGTCGAGTCAACGTAGGCATGTTCTTGGTGCGGTTTCAGCCGAAGCTCCTGAAGGAGCTGTTGTCAGGCTTCATCGCTAGATGATTGAGTATGGTTGGCCTGCGCCGCAGCAGTTTCCGTCTTGCGAAGCAGGGCCTGGTGCTTCCGAATCAATTTTGTCTTTCACAGCGTGTTCTGCGGGCAAGCCCCAGAAACATGAAGTTTGGGATTTGTGTCTAGTGCTTGAAGATACTTTGAGGATAGCTTTTACGACAAGCAGTTACAAACACCTGAACATCATGGATCTTTAGTCGTCGACAAACACCAGCCCTTTTTGATGTGTTTTCAGACCAGGGAGGTCGGTCTAGGAGCACCGGCCGCCCTCAGACCGCCTAACCTGATTCGCCCAGGAGCAGAACTTCACTCTTTTGCCACAGCTCTTCCAACGCGCGGGCTTCCGCACGGGGGCCTTTGGGAAGCTGGCGCCACTCGTGTCGCCGCTGAGACAAGGCTTCGACGTTTTCGTGGGGCAAGTGGATCAGGCGCTTTGCCACAACATGTACCCCAAGGAGGGGTTTCTGGGGACACTCGGATCAGGAGAGTTTCTGAATCTGGGATGGCCAGGTGTCGGTCCCTGGAGTGGTCTGATTTAAGTCTCTTTTTTTTCAGCGCCACTTTTTCTCAATGGAGTGAGTGTATGCTAAACTGAGAGACGTGGGCACCGTCGGGAGCACCGTCACTTCAGTGAATCAAACCCAAAAGAGGCTCATGTGACTCATCAGTTTCCCTCACGTTCCTTTTGGTTCCGGGCTTGGAGCACAGTGGTGGGAACTTGTGGTCAACCCGGTGAAGGTGATGTCAAGGCGGAGTTTGCAGAGGGTGCAGTAGAGTCAAGTGTCAAATTGTTTTCCTTGCATGCAGCATCCTTCGTGAGACATTGTGCGCCAACCCTGGTGAGGAGATTGACACTGGAGATGGAACACTGAATTTCAAGCTCTCCGGGAACATTCATTCCCCCAGCCCGACCAGGGAGCGTTGTATGCAGAGTCCTGACTCTTACAATTACACCATCGATGTCTTTCACAAGGAAGCGATGTCTTGGATGCGGCAAGTGGCCCAGACCTCGCAACCCTTCTTCTTGTACTTGAGTTACACTGTGCCACATGCTGGTGGCTGGGGTGACGCGCCTGCCTCGCCAGAACAAGGAAATCCGGTGCCCACAGACATGGGCTACGGACATCAGCCGTGGCCGGAGGTTGAGAAAGATCACGCAGCAGTCATTAGCTATCTGGATGACAAGGTGGGAGCTCGAAAAAAGAAACTATTTATGCATTATGAAATTATGAAGGTATCAAACAAGATCAGACCTTTGAAACATATCGAGAGTTTCTGGATCGCATCAAAGAGTTTTTCCCATGGTGGACCTTCTCTTCCGGGGGGTCGAAGTGGACCCCTGGAGCGATTTTCACCAGGTGGGCGATGTCATGAAGCAGCTGAAAGCATTAAAGATTGATGAGAAGACCATGGTCTTCTTTGCCTCAGACAATGGTGCACATTTGGAGGGAGGTCATCAAATCGCCTTCTTCAACTCTACTGGAGGTGGGTCGTCGAGGCGGTAACGCCTTAAATCCTTTCTCACTCAGTGACCGGTCGTTGAGGCGGATCTGTCATACTTCCTACGTTTCTGTTTTCCCAAACCCCCAGCCAAGACTGAAGACTCAAGACCAGGTCTGTCAGGGCACAAGAGGAGCATGTACGAGGGCGGTGTCCGCTCTCCAACCATGGTCCGCTGGCCGCAGCAGATCCGTCCGCGAACCTCGCAGTTTGCGTGGGCCTTCTGGGACATGGTGCCGACCGTTGCTGAGCTGCTGGGTGTCACTGCGCCCGAGAACGATGGCATCAGCATACTGCCAGAGCTCTACGGACAAGAGCAACAGGAGAAGAAATGTGGTGGTTCCCAACCAGATAGACGCGGTAACATGTTCACATTCTGTTTTGGTGTTTTCTTTCGATCAGTCGATCCAGCCATCCCATGATTTCGTCCGGTGGAAAGGCTCGTGGATCCAGAGATTTCGGATGCCGACTCTCTGAGGAGCATGACTATTTGTTCTTCACCTGGATCGGCGAGGGAAGGTCTGGCGGTCTGGGTCCCGCGAACGGCGACGGTGCCCGAAACGGGCCTGGTTACACGGTGCGAAAGGGCGTCTGGAAAGGCTTGGTGCCCCACTGCCACGACACGAAGAACTGGAGGCCCAGCTGGGCTGATGAGATGAAGCTCTTTGATTTGGAGAGCGAGACCTGGAGAGCAAGAGGTTAGCTGGGTGGATATGAGAGTTTTCAGGTTTTCAGAGACAGGTTTCTCTTCAAAGGCAGAATTGAAGGTCCGAGGCTTCATCAGATACATGACACTCCCGGAACTAAGCACATTCGGCACGCAGGAGGTGTGCTGCTTGACTTGGCCACAGAGGTCACTTCAGCCACTTCAAGTGGCCAACGTGACCAGTGGCCGAAGTGGTCGAGGTAGAGTGGCGAAAGGAAGGCTGAGAGAGGTCGAGGGGGCGTAGAAGTTGAGCGTTCAAAGGGATTGTAGCCTGCAACATTCTATATATTTAGACTCCACACTTGGAACAAATACTTTGCCCCAACTGACGCGTCCAAGCGTCCAGGCGACTGACCAGGTTGCAACAGGCCCGGCATCCTTTGGCCTATTTAGAACCTGCGTGGTGAGTGATCTTCAACCAATTGCACCGAGCCCAGCTGTTCGAGTCACCGAGCCCACCACGGTCCGAGCCCACCACGGCCCGAGCCCACCACGGCCCGAAGCCGGAACAGGTGGCGGTAGCGGTGAAGCCCCCTGGTTTGTAGAGGTTGGTAGAGTCATCCATCCAAGGGGCCTGAACGTTCCATTTCCATGAGTTCAGGGAGTGTCCAGAGAAGACGGGTGCCACGGAAACATTGACCCTCCAGCATCCCTCAAGGCTGGAATTGGACCTCTCCCTGCGAACGTGGACCAAACACCCTCGGTCCTCCTAAGGGCCAGACATCCACTTCTGTTCTTCTGCCGGTGTGAACAAACATGATTGATAAACCTCCAAAAGGTTGGCCGATGGTCGGTGTGAACAAGGGGTCACGGCATTGCGACAGAGCTTCGCTCTGTAATCTCAGACCCTGGGCTAGATTACAGTATTATACCTACATATAGTCCTAAATATGCACACACACGTGCACATCCCTCCAACATTTTGTGGAAACCTGCTTCTGTCGTTTGAAGATAGCAGGAGTCTTGAGTCTGCTGCGTAGTTTGCAAGTCGGCTTTCTCAAAAGTTTCCTCAAGCTACAGTCTGCAACTGTAGTTTTGGCGTGGATGGTCTAGGTTGCTTCATCTCATCCACCGGAGGCCTCACATCCGCCAAACGAGGCCTCTTAAGATCCATCCATGTATAAACGGTATAAGCTTTACTTTTATACTATAGACTTATCCCCCTCTGAGGGCCGAATGCAGACCATACACCAGATCTGAGGATCCGACTGAGCAGAGGGACTGGGCCAAAGCAAGGCCTGAGCTGGTGGATGAGCTGAAGCGCCTCGTGATGGCTGAGGGCTTGAGCTGTGCCGCGGCAGTTGGTTGGGCTCGACCGACCCGGCTCCGCCGGGGTCGAGGTTGATCCGCAAGAACATGCAAGAACGAATGTTCATGAAATGTAGATGGACGTCGCCTTGGTGTTGATTTGCGGGTGGGTGAAGAGGATCATTTTCTGTTTTTTGCCTTTTCAGAACCTTGAACATTGGACTCCTTGAAAAAGCAGAATCCAGGCACAGTTGACTTTTACAGTATGATGGCTTTGCCAAGTCTTCTGAACACATTTTCTCTGCCAACCCTGGTTTTCATACTCTATGCAATGCGGAATGGTGGCCCCTTGAGCTCTGAGGTATGTGCTATCAGTGTGGCTTCTCTGATGACGTCATGTCAAGTGTGATCATCTAGTAGAGCCCGTTGCAGCCCAAGAAGCCTCGACTGTGACCCCGACCAAGTGCCTTGTGCCGCGTCCCCAAAAGGTGGGCGGAGACTGGTCGGGCTGGAGGGCAAACCACATGGCTGGATGTCAGGTTCACTCATGTGAACCCCATGGCTGGATGCCAACCTCCCCAGGGCTCCTCTCCTTCTGGGAAGAGCGCCGCTTTTCACCGCTTTTTTCCTTAGCGGTCACTGTTCACGTGACTTGGGAGTCTGGGAAGCAGTAAAGCCCTTCTGTAGCACCTGTTTTTTTTCCATCCGTTTCTTCCCCAGAGCCATGTGCCGCCCCCCTTTTGCCGCGCACCACGACCGAGCCAGGAGCTTCTTCCTGGAGCTTCTTGTGGTGCCTGGAGCCTCAGATCGAATGAGCGGCTTGTGGCCTGCACGACGGGTCACCGGGATATCGTCGGTTGGACTTGTAGTAAGGCCAGGAGCCCCTGGTTTTGCATCGGTTGGACGGACTCTCCGAAAGAAGCTGTGAAGGTCGTTCATTCTCTTAAGGGATGAAGCACTCTGGGAGAGATCCTTCCAGGCGAGGGTTTGAGTTTTTGGTTTCGAATCAGATGTTCCCCAAAGCCATGGTCTGGCAACTGGACTCGGATTTGATCATTTTTTCTCGAAGCAGACGGGAGAAACATGGGGTGCAGACGGGACAGTCCACCTCCTGGAGGGCCTAAATCTCAGTAGTCTATAATTCAGACTTGAAGAGTCAGGCGACATTGCCCCTAGCTGCCACACCGCCAGACCTCACAGGGCGGATCGTCCGCGGAGCGTCCGCTCGTCCTCACGTTGCTCGGCATCCGCGCTGCGTGACTGTGGCGACTCGGACCTGCAGCATTTTCACTCAAGACTTGCCTTGATCTCCGTCCGGTTCTCACCCAACAAGGCGCGATGGAGATGGATCGGAAGGTGTTCCACAGAGTCCAACCAAACAAGGCAGACTTACTTGACCCCTCTTGGATTTTGTTGGATGTCCATAAAGCCTTGGTAATGATGTCTGGGGACCTGCTCCCCCCCTTAAAAGGCAAGCGACTGTTCCAAGTGATGCTGGAGAGGGCACCTCGTCCAACTCTTGGTTGTCACATCTTCTTTGGACTGGTGATTCTTCGGCCGTTCCCTGCCAAAATATGACCAGACCGAAGTGGCATGATGAGCCCTTTGTCAAGGTAGGGAGGGGTTCTCGCTGAAGTCGTACTGAAACGATCCATGGAAGTGGAACAATAAGTGGAACATGGCATGTTTGGGGCCCAAGCAGGTGGGCTTTTTTTCCACTTCCATCTCAAGTGACGACTACGTCTCTTCCGACCCGTGACCGGTCCGCGACCGGTCCCGTTCGCCTTCGCGGCGAGGAGCAATGACTGAAGCCGAGGCAGTGATCCGTGATCAGTCCGGATGGATCGTCTCTTGACCGAAGAAAGTAAGGAGTTCTGTACATGGCCCCGAGGGATGGTAGACTCTTTATAGGGAGTCTTGTATCCAGTAGACAGTAGACATGGAACTTTTTCCAGCAAAGAATTGCGCATTCGACCTCCAGATGGTAAAGGAGAGTTTTCCGCCTGATCACCCATTCATCTCCATTCATCTGCATCCTCTGCCCTTCACATCCTTCATTGCGCAGTGCTTCCGCATCCAAGCAGGTTCGTGCTGCAAAGCAACAAACGCGGCATATTGAATTCTGGTCCAAGCAGAAGCTTATCCCAGATGACACCAAGCAAGGTGCCAACAACACAATGCCGGTATCGCACGACCAATCATCCCACGAGCATCAGACTTACCTGAAGGATCCTGAACTACATCACTGAGGCACAGGCAAAGCGCTGACCGTTCAATGATCGCCCTATTGAAACCAAGGAACAAAAGCCACTTGGGAAATGCCGGAGCCAACAGAAGTCGATGTCTTCGAGTCTTCAACAAAGAGATATCTTCAACTCTTCAACTGGCCTGTGTGCAGAAACCGGGACAAAGTCACAGATCCTTATATATCCAGATTTGGGAGAGTTGTGATCTACAAATCATGTGATTAGCAATTCGAAATTCTTGATTGACCGTGGCTTTATCCGCTCTCAGTGCATTCATCCAGTTGTGTTGTGCAAGTGTCGTATGCATCCTTCTTCTTTCGCATGTTTTTTTTTTTCGCTTTGTCAGTTTGTTGCCAAGTTCGCAGGGTGTGGGTTGGGGTTTGGTTGTGATCCTTTTGACCAGCATTTTTGTATATTTTTGTACAGGCACCCTTTCTGCACCGCGACCGGCCGATTCACCAGAACGGCTTCATGAGAACGCTGATGGGTTGGGATTGCGTGCTCTCTGTGATGCTGACATGGAAAACCCGAGTTCGCACGGATGCCGAGTCCCGAGGTGACGAGTGCGAAGAAGGATCTGGGACCCCTGGACTTTACCGGCACGGAGCCCCAGGGGTGGTGGGGCGGAATGGAACGCCCGCGCGCCGCGTCGCCGGGAACGCCGTTGGAGGTGGGGCGGGGCGGAGGACCATGGCGGCTCAGGTCGGTCTGGTGCCCAGTGGTGCCACTTTCCCACAGCCACATCACAGACTGAAGCAACTGCGTCTCGAATTCGGTGGCGCGATCTGCAGGAAGTGGTGGGTTGCTCTGCCCACCAGCCAACGTTGGCGCACACGTTCGGTTGGGAATGGTCTTTAAACAAAGCCTCTTTGAATCATGCGGAATCATGCGTTGATATAGTTGTTGACAGCTGGCTGGTGGAACCCCAATGAGCCCTCTGACTTTTTCAACTTGTGCGCCAAGAACCACCTAACATCCGCTGTTGGTGATGAAATCGTCCCACCTTCCCTCACCTTCCTCGGTGGCGACCCACATGTCGACCAAGCCAGGCCGCATCGGAGGTGGCATGATGGCGGATGCTCGACGGAAAACCAATGGGTCACGTGACGTGACAGACTGGGTGACGTCAGACGAGACGCGGAGTGCCAGGATGATTATAATAGAAAACGAGAGTATTCCCCTGCAGGAGTCCTGTGAAACAGGTTGGGCAGCATTCGGGCGGGCCACAAAAAGGTGGCGGGAGAGGGTCGGCAGCATTCGGCAAGCAAGTTCAAAAACAAAGAGAGTGTTCGGCAGCAAAAAGTAACTATATAGTATATATATATATAATATATTATATAGATTACATAATAATTAGATATTTAAATATTGGTAGTAATAATAGCAATATCGGCATCACATAACCATGTTTTTAGACATCTGTAGTTGCTCTACATACAGCTATATAGTAAATAACTTATCCTTCTTTACCTGGTGAGAAACCTAGACAACAGTCAGTCAGACATTCACAGGACTTTGTACCCGCAATCATGAGACAGAAAAGGACTGCGATCGGCCGCTCCCGAATCATTGGCCCCCAAATCCTAAGAGTTTGCTCAAACATTCTCCAACAAATCTTAAAAACCATGGTTTCACTGATGTTTCACTCCCGTGAACCTGAATATCATCATACTCCATCCTCCGCGGTCCGGTCTGACCCTGGCGCTCTTCATCTACCCACTGACCAGTGGCAGAAGTCCGCGGGCGTCCGTGCGGGTCCAGCGATCGACGCCTGAGGATATCCGGCGCCGCGCGCCCTTCTACGTGAGCGACTGGACTGAGGCCTTTTACCCCGAGAACCTCCAGCTGCTCGGCGTTGGGTGAACTTCTGAGAGATTGGGTATATGTATTTGAGTTGGGGGAGACCCCCTGGGAGGTCATCATGTAGTGTGGCATACGCAGCCCCGTGGGCACGAAGAGCTTAAAAAGGCTTAGCCTTTTCGCGTAGAAGGAGGGTTTCACCCGCCTCTTGGCCCGACTCCCAGTGCCTGAACAACTGGGGGAAGCGACGTGCCGAGCCAAGGGCTCCACGAGACCGGTCGGTCCACGAGACCCGTGGCCACCGGAGGAGGTCCGGACCAGTACCGAGAGGTTGAGATGTTGGCGCGAACGGAGCGATCGGACGCTACGACCGGGGCTCCTGGCCGTACTACTAGGGACAAGAAGCTACGAACGGAGCAAAGGGCCTCGCTACTAGGGGGTCTATTGAGGAAGACGGCCTCCACCATTCTCTACCTCTTCATCGCGGCCTTGGCGCCGGCGATCACGTGACTGGGTGGGAAGAGGAGAAGCAGTGGGGAGGGGCCGCCACTGGTAGCCCTAAGACTCTAAGGGCCAGCAGAGATAGGACTGACATGATTTTTGAGGGATTTCTTCTATGCATTGGCATTAAAAAGCGCTAGATCTCCAAGGTCACACGTGTTAGCAGATCAGGGGGGAAGACTGGAGCAGCTGGGCTCGACTGGGCTTCAAGGCTCCCAACTCCCATCGATTCTCCGAGTCTTCGTCTTTTGACCCGCCAGCTTTCACGCTTCAGACTGGCCAGTAGCCGAACTATGCCAAACTGTTTGCCCAACTAACCTGCCCCCCAATGACCACATGGGAGCCGACCTGGCCGTTATTTTTTGGCGGGAGCCGACACTCCACCGGCCGACTCACTGGAGCTTTCTGGTCTTCCCCCTTTCTCCCCCTGGCTTCCCCGATCGACCCACGGCGCCCCCCCCGAAAAAACCGGTTCTAGGAGCGATCCAAAACGCCACGAACGGGGCTCCTCCGAACGGACGCCCCAAAAGGTTCGGAAGCCGCTTCCTGGACGGCACCAACGGTGCCTCGGCCTCCGACTCCCGCAGACGGGTGAAAGGGGTTTCGACGAGTCGAAGCGGAGGAAGTCCAACGGTTTCGACATCCCCACACATTCCTTCTATTTCTCAACAGATATCACCGGTCTACATTGGTGGAGCACACTCTTTGTGTTCGTTCCATTGATTTGCATCTCTTTGGTCCTCTTCAACGACCCGGACCCGCCACACCCCACCATGCTTTTGGCCGCCATGCCTGGATGGCACGTCCCACACACTTGTTGTTGATGGAATTTGAGCCGCGAGTTCTGACGATTTTCCGGCTACCCGGAAAATTTTGGACGCCCAAATGAGCCATGAGCCTTAAGTCAAATTTATGAATGCCCATTCTGGCTGGCAAGTTCTCCCCACGACATGAGATGATGATGATGATGATGATGATGATGATGATGATGATGATGATGA